GATCGTTGCTTTCCGGGGCTCTTATGAGACTAAATGCCAGACACGCATATATTTACATACTCAGACTATCATTTTCTAATCTTCCTAATACGGAAAATTATCATGAGGTTTGCTCGTACTGTTGTTATGTTTTTTTACTTCCAATCATGATATTCTGGTAATGTCAAAGAAGGAAGAGGTTAAAGGAAGGAAATGTAAATTTATTAACAGACCACCGAATGGCATCGTTAGGTACCTGATTACCACGCAAGGACATTCACACAAAACATATATCGTTGGCTTCACTCTAAGGTGAAATAAGACATATCTTTGTTGTTGTGTATATAAATATATATGCAAAATGTAATTCCTTTTTTCCCGAGCTCTTAATATATACGACTTTTGTGAAATCCATCCATATTTGATTGTTACAGAACAGATTAATTGTGTAGCCATATATATTTCAGATGATACATATACCTTTTTCTGAAATGGTCGTCTATATCATTTAAAATAATTAAAAATATTGAGAAAGCTATACATTTAAATCTAAGTATGTGACTATATTTCTTTTAAAGTAAATCATGCAGATTAGTTTCATTGGCTATGTACAATACAACTGCAATGTTCTGTCTGTTAGCAATTAGAGAGGCATTGTCTGCTTTGAGTTCTGTAACCTTCTGTTATATCTCTTATCTTCTATTTACCTTCAGTCTGATCATTCATTTTAAATCACTCAGCTAAAATTTCAAAAGAAAATAATGTTTTCACAATTTTTGGTGCAGAATCAGAAGAGAATACATTCTAAGTTCCTAAAACAGGGATATTGCAAAATCGTAACGTAATCTTGAAAAAAAATATTCAGTATTACAGTTTGTGTAATTCGATTAGTTATATATGGAATTAGATCGTACATATAAGAAAACGGACCGTACAGATAAAACAGAAAACGACTACTTTAAGGGGTAACTAATTAAAACTTATACTTAATATACTTCTTGTTACAAACAATAATTTAGAAACCTCACGAACTCTTTACGTCACACTAAAAGGAAACTGATAAAAGAGTGTTGATTATTGCACATACATCGCACCTTTTTTACGCATTTTTCCATTCGTGTGTATGTGTTAATGTTAAATTACTTAAATTGGTGATAGTAAAGTTATGGTAAATCTTGACGGAGAATGTAATGTAACTGAACGTAACCTTATTCTTTATTATCAACTTTACCGAAAAATAAGATTATAATGATTGTTTAAAGGATATTTTTGCCGCAACCGGGTTCTGTTTTCAAAGTCTTATGAGCATCAACGTGATCAGAATAAAGCCACATATTCATATTGACTTCAGAACTTTTTTTCTGTTGTTACTGGTTATCCTGTAGTCTACTTTGTTACCATTATCCTGAGTTTACACAGAAAAAATAAGCGGTATTTTTTATTACAAATAGTAAGGCAGATGGGGAAATTTAAGAATTGCTTGAACCCAAACAAGGTAAACAGGAAATACAAGTTTAAAAAATTAATGTATTCAGTCATATTACATAAAGACAGACTAAAAAAGCCCACTTATTGCTGGACATACATTCATACTTATTCATATAATACTGTTACTATCTTCATCTCGAAAAAGATATCTTTAAAATATAACATTGAAAATATTCTTCACAAGAACGATGCACTTCAAGTAGATGATAACCACATAAGATAAGAAAATACCTATATCATTAATTCGCCTCCAGTGTTTTTCGAATAAAATATACAATAAAGAAAATTAATACTCGTAATGTAATAAGTCTAGAATTGGCACCGATTTTTCTTTTTTTGGGAAGGGGCCAAATAAGTGCTTTCATTCTGCCTTTTGAAATAATGGTGTGAATAAAATAATATTCAAATTTTATTTTTAAAAAGCTGCAGAGCTTGATAAATTGTTCCATTGTTCTGCACTGTACTTCGAGCAATGCATATATTATTCTGTGGTGTACATTACCGACAGTCACACACATTACACGTTTTACTACATGTGTGTGTGTGTGTGTGTGTGTAGGTTGACATTCCAAAATCCGGCCTTCAACAATCCGGTTCCCTCAGATTACCGGCACTGCTATCGGAGTGCATTTTGAAATATACCACGTTAGCGCTGTTGTCTCACTTGCACGTGTTATCAGGCATTTCCACTCATTCCTTTTCATTTTATCATGTCTTTTCTGCTGTATGGACCCCATGACGGCATTCTCGAAAACCCACACACCTCAGGTCCGGAGGTTACCGGCTTTTTTAATGTCAACCTGTGTGCATGTATATGTGTGTATGTATGTGTGTATGTGTTTGTGTGTGTGTATGTGTATGTATGTGTGTGTGTGTTAGTGTGTGTGTGTGTGTGTGTTAGTGTGTGCATGTGTTTGTGTGTATGTGTTTGTGTGTGTGTGTGGTGTGTGTTTGTGTGTGTGTATGTGTTTGTGTGTGCGTATGTGTGTGTGTGTATTTGTCTGTGTCTGTGTATGTGTTTGTCTGTGTGTGTGTGTGTGTTAGAGCAATGGGGTTCACCAACAGGTCCCTATATGACGCTTCTTGTCTTCTTGATCAACAGAATTCTCCGCTGAAAATTAAAACTAAATCGGGACCAGACCAGGAATTCATTACAGAAGTCCTTGCAACGTTCTCAAGGTGCCAACGGTGCCACTCGACAGGATATTTTTCACAGGAAATGAAGTTCAACAAGATATCTCTCATGACTCTCTAACCTCGTTTGGCCTTCAAATCGAAAATTACGTCACTCGAGCCATGGCAGTAGACATAGCTTATTGTCCCCCGTAAATGGAGATTGATAGGAATAACGAGGTGGCACCTAAATAGGGTATTTGGCATCAATTAAAAATGGAAGTACAGGATAGAAGCAGCGACATCATCACAGAACAGCAATATCTCGAGAGGCGTAAAGGTGACCGTCTTTTAGACTTCGTCTTCTAGAGGTGTCCGTCTTCCGTCTTCAAATAAAAGAGGTGGAATTGAAGATAGTCTTCTAAAGGTGACCGTCTTCTAGAGGTGTCCGCACTTCTAATCTAAGGTGAGGTGTCCGTCTTCTAGAGTCCCGTCTTCTAGAAATCGAGAGGTGTCCGTCTTCTAGAGAGAGGTGATAGAGAGGTGTCCCGAGGTGAGGTGTCCGCGTCTTCTAGGTGTCCGTCTTCTAAGGTCGTCTTCTCCGTCTTCCCGTCTTCCGTCTTCTGAAGGTGACCGTAAAGGTGACCGTCTTCTAGAGGTGACCGTCTTCTAAAGGTGTCCGTCTTCTAAGGTGCGTCTTCTAGGTGTCCGTCTTCTAGAGGTGAGTCTTCTAAGGTGTCCGTCTCGTCCGTCTGTCCGTCTTCGTCCGTCTTCTACCGTGACCGTCTTCTAAAGGTGTCCGTCTTCTAGGTGTCCGTCTCTAAAGGTGTCCGTCTTCTGTGTCCGTCTTCTAAAGGTGACCGTCTTCTAGAGGTGTCCGTCTTCTTCCGTCTTCTAAACCGAGTAAAAGTGAGTATGAACTTCCTTCGTCCGATTTCCTGTATTCGTGTTTATTTATAATCTTAAAACTAAGGAAAAAATAAAGAAGAGTTGGGTCACGTGACGGTTTATCATCTGTCATGGAAGTCGAATATCTAAGATTTCTAATTCCACTGATATAGAGATTATAGAGGTCAGTATTAACGATAACTCAATTAGCATAACATCCCTCACTGACCTCCATAGTCAATACCTTGTTGAAAATTGCAACTGAAGGGCGAGGTCATGAGGCTAAGTGCAATAAGATCGAATTTTGCGTGTTTACTGTCGAATGTATTTTTTTTACAGAGAGAAAATATTGTCTGTTTACAACTTTAATGACAGAGAAAAAAACATTATCTTGTAAAACAATGAAGGAAAAGTTTTTCATAGATATTTTGCACAACAATTAGCTGTAATCAGCAGTAATATTGTAACCTCAAGCATAGACCTATAACTATTGTATTCTTTACCCAAAGTGCTTATTTTTATGTAGTAATTTTTCATTTATCATTCTAGTATGAAATTGGGCATATAAATACGTAACATTCCTGTGTGTGACAGCTGCTTGCCATGCTAACGAGAAACGTTTCTTGCTAATCATTAAGATAATAACATTGTAGTGTCGGAATTCCTGGTCTTTAAGTCATGTTACCAGGCCTTATGTAACCAATTTAGCAAAAGGATGCACTCGTCACTCGATTCACCGAGTATAGCATTCTCTACCAGCAGGCAGACTTAAGGCCAATTACAGCAGCAATGTGGTCGAAAATCCTATGCATCTGTGCCCTTTCGATGTCCTTTTGTAGCTCACTCGTGAAGGCCATCGATTTGACACTGTAGAAACCTATCTTTCTTTCTCTGTTGGTTCCTAAACGTAAACATGACATTCCCAATACATAATTCCAGTGATCTGTGGAAACAATATCTCGACAAAATATTATATCAAAGGAATGCCTTTTAGGAATTCAAAACTTTCTCACAAGAATTATACTAAAGCTTTTAATGGAAATGTGATATCGGATTTGTTTGAATTTCTGCACTTGGAGATCTTCCAAGTCAAAAAGATACATCTTAGATTTAATTTCGGTTGTAAAGATATGCCTGGTCATGACAGGTAATCTGGTGTACATTGGATCTCCTTGCTTTTTATCTTCTTTATCTCAGCCACAATCATCCTTTATCTCGTAGTTTAAAAAAGTAATAAATTTTCCCAATTAATAAAAAAAAGTAGATATGCTCACAAATTCGTACCAGTGCTGACAACATTTTAGATATTTTGTGCATGCAATTACCTACTTATTGTTCCTATAACTGTCATGCTGAGGATGATATTATCCCCCTAATTGTTGAGCTGTGAATGAGATACACCTTGAACTGAAGAGCTACTAAGGACACACATCCTGCCAAAACAGTCCCACAGCAAACGATATCATATGATAGCATTTCTTGAAAGGAAATTCGGTCACTAAAACCACCATTCTTCCTAACCCATACCTCCTCCAGACACCGAAGAGGAAGGAAACAATATCACAGGAGCTGAAAGCGTCAAAATAAGTCAGTCAATAAATACAGCAGTTTTCCGTGGAGGAGAAAACGGAGGAGGAGTCTGCATCTAAGCGTCTGGCAGTTGGGGTCGACCGTCCCCGTCCCCTGCAAGCCAGCCAACGCCAGTGCAGACACAGCCGGGCAGCGTTGGGTCGCGTACGTCTTCACCTGCGAGACAAGTGAGTGTGAAGTGCGTTGTGTGAGTTGGTGTTTGTGAGCAATGGGAAATACAACAATAAAAGTGTTCACGCACACGGGCACACATGCATATACTAATGTGTGTGTATATATATATATATATATATATATATATATATATATATATATATATATATATATATATATATATATATAATATATATATATGCACACGCGCGCGCGCAGAATGAAGAACGAACATTAGAATTCTATTGTATGTTTGTTTACTTTTGATAAAGTGACCACATGAGAAAACACCTTTTAACGCCAATATCCTTCTACCGATCTCCCAGTGGAGAGTCTGACCTTCGTCCGAGCCCTGTTTTGGTTTATCAGTTTATTTATTTATCTATTCTACCTATCTATCTATCAATCTATCCATATATCTATGTCAGTTATTATATTTATCTATTTATCTACGTGAGTGAAATAACTTTCATCATTGCGTTCCATCTATTTGTTTAATAACAATTTCCGACTTCTTCCAGTGGAGGGCGACGGCGCAGAGTCTGACTTCCGTCCGAGCGAGATCACGCAGGAGAGCGTCGAGGCGGCACTCAAGAACGACAAGGGAAGCGACGCTCGTCTCGTCTCCTTCGCGGTCCAGGAATGCACCAAGAAAGGAGACAACTACGCGACGTCTGTGGCCAGAGTCATTGTGAATTACACGCTTTGGGAAACTGACCACGAGACTTCGTATGTCGTGAAGTATAACCCCAGAAATTTTGCGGCATTTGAAAAGTTCCTTTACGTTGTATTTAGAAAAGAAGTAATGTTTTATCAGCATCTTGTGCATGATATTCAGTCACAGTTAAAAGAAGCAGGTCAAACTCCTCTAAGAGTTCCTCGGTGTTTCCACACGTCCTTAGAAGAATTTCAGGAGGTTATCTTCCTGGAGGACCTCCGGCCCAAGGGCTTCAAGATGTTCGACCGCAAGAAGGGCATGGACGTCGCCCACACCAAGCTCGTCCTCGAGGAACTGGCCAGACTCCACGCGGCCTCGTACCTCCTCAAGGCCAAGATCCCAGACCTCACCGAGAAGTACCCAATCCTGAAGCTGGATTGGCTCAACTATGCCGACGACGCAAGGGATAAAACATACAAGTTATTTTCCAAACAGATGGATATAGTTAAAGATATGCTGAATAAAGTCGGAGGATACGAAGTGGCGGAGAACTGGCTCGGCAGAAACAAGGTGAAAGTATTAGACATGCTGGGCGACCATATCGTTGGGGTTCCTCCCTTCGACCTTCTGTGCCACGGTGACTGCTGGAACAATAACTTGCTCTTTAGGTACTTACAACTTACAACTATTTCCCTTGTTATTGGTTAAAACTTGTGTCACAGTAACTACGAAGTTTTAAGGCAAACAACACTCTCTGACATACACACATCTACTGAATAGCTCTCTCATAGCGAATTCGTCATATTTTTCATACTTTCCAGATACAACGAAGAAGAGACTCCCATCGAAGTAATGCTGCTGGACCTACAGTTGTGTCGCCAAGCCTCACCAGCCACCGACCTCAACTACCTCTTCCACTCGAGTCTCGAAGGCTTCGTGAGGAAAACGAACCTCGAGTCGTTTCTAGACATCTACTACTCGTCCTTCCTCAGCGTCGCAGAAGCAGGGAAGACCGCCATACCCTTCTCCCGAGAGGAACTTCGTCAGGAGTACAAGAACAACCTCGAATATGGCCTGCTGCTCGCGATGTTGGTGACTGTGATAGTTATCTGTGAGGGAGACATCAACAAGGAGGATGAGGATGGGTTTACCGACTCACTAAAAGATGTTTTAGATGAGCTGGTTGCAACATCGCCCATACTGCGCCCCAGATTCCTTAGTATATTTGACGAAATGATTGAAAACAAAGTTATTGTTTGAGGTATTGAAGCTTAGGGACACCTTTCCCCCGAAATTATGTTGCTGTTTTTGTTTTTTTCTCTTTTTTTCTTTCGTTTTTGCTTTCTTATCCTTTTTTCTATTACTTTTTCTCTCAAGGTTTTCATGACTAAAACTTCTAATGATAATTAAAGCATTGCTGATTATATATTCATCAGCATCAATTTATTCATATTACTAATATTAACCTCCTCACTTTTAGTATTACATGAAGTCAGTAATATAAACAAGCAGTTGTGAAAAATGTATGGACTTTATCATCCACTACAATGTAAATCAAGTTGTCATTAAAGTTGTTTTTTTAACCTTCCATAGACCCTTAATTTTGTTTAGATGAATACCTGATAAATCCCTTTGTGATTTGAGAGAATATGCAGTATAAAAGCATAAGAAAGTTAATTCGATAAAACAATATTTATGCTGTTTGTCGTATACTTATCAGTATCCATTATAGCATATATGGAAAGTTTTTTTTTATTGTTAAACGTTTCCAAATATAGAAAGGAAGTTTACTTTAATAAGTGATAATGATAATGTACAATGAATTGATTTATATGCTTAAAATTATATAAATTGAGATTTATTTTCTTTTCTTTTTTGTTAATGGACGCATTTCTCCATCTATAGAGTTATAATGTCAAAACCTTTACAAATAAATAAATAAATAGTCACATTTAAGTTCATGTGTAACTGATCAGCTTTTTCTAAATGGACTTCTGAATAGAACCTTTATGTCAATTCTTAAAGTATGTTATCCATTTCTTCTCATAAAAGATAAGAACATATTTATAGTCTTTTCATGCGGAAAGTCCTGAAAATAAAATCATGATATAAATTCCATAAAAGTTAAATACATCCAGAGACGATATTTCTCTTATTTTTCTTTCTTTCTTTCTTTCGTGAAGGAAAGTAATCCTTAAATACATTTGCTGTTATGTGGACGAACTCATACAAGTGCTACATGCAAGAGTTGAACAGCAACAGATGCAATGAAGGTAATCGTTAATAGAATATGATAAATTGAAAATCAGCCAATCGCATTAACCTTTAACGACCCAACAAGCAGTTAAGCGTAAGATTGAAATTTAGTCTTTCTTCTCGTCTTGTCCCATTCAGTGTGATTACAACCAACCAGACTTTACGGCCGGTTTGTTAAAATTGTGCCAGGCCCGAGCCAATGAATTTTCATAAATACAGACGCAGAAATAAAGGCATATCTGTCTATATATCTGATAGATATACATCTAACTATCTATTTGCCGGGTTGATATGCATGTCCAGACGGATCAATATGCATTTATTTCTTTATTTATGCATGTCAAGTATACGAATACTCTTTGGTTTGGGCCTCGCACAATTCTAACAACCCAGCAGACTATAACTTTTGTCAGAAGTATATTTTCATTATCCAGCTGTCTTGAGTGTGATAACTGTGTGACAGCGATATAACGACACAATTCGTGCATTTATTATTATTATTATTGTTATTATCGTTGTTTTGTTGTTTTGTTATTGCTATTGTCATTATTTTTTTTATTATTACTATTATTATTATTATTACTATTATTTTTATAATTATCATTATTATTATAAATATGAATATTATTATTATTATTATTATTATTATTATTATTACTTTCATTCTTATTATTTTATTATTATTATTATATTTATTTTTAGATTGTTCTTATTATTTTTTTTCTTATATTGTTATTATTATTGTTCATATTATTACTATTTGCCGACAATTAATTGATTTCATGGTTTACGGATCCACACTTGTTTTTTCCCGATTAAAAAAAAAAAAAAAAAAAAAAAAAATGAAATTGAATATCGACTTTTTTCCCGCCGCATCTAATCCGATACGATTTGATTCCAATGTTCTGTTTTTTTTTTTTTTTTTTTTTTTTTTTTTTTGTAAGTTGTACTTATAAAAATCTTCCCAATCAATGGTACAAAATATCACCGGAGATAATTCCTGTCTGTGGGCACGTGAACAATTCCGATTCCAGATGTGGTGTAGTTTTGTCATCGGTATTTCATTTCTTTTATATCGTGTCACATGTTTCCAGAATTTAATAAAGTTCTAAAAAAAAGAAAAAGGGGGGGGGGCCAAAACACCCAATTATTTGTATTTTCATTTTGCGACCGCCAGTTAGAAGTTTTTTCAAAAGTATGATCAATAAACCAAGGTATGAAATAATTGTGGCCTTATTATTATTATTATCATTACAATTATCATCACTATCATCATTATTATCATCATTATTATCATAATTCTTTTACTCACTCTCATCTACTTCATAATCTTCACTACTATTCGAACGAACTGATATAGGAAAGTATCAGGGTCATAGATCCATAAAAAAACAGATAACGAATAATAATAATAAATAGGAAAGTATCAAGGTCATAGATCCATAAAAAAACAACATAATAATAATAATGATAATAATGATAATAATAATAATAATAATAATAATAATAATAATAATTATAAATAGGAAAGTATTAAGGTCATAGATCCATAAAAAAATCGCTTACAGACTAGAATAATGAAAATTAATAAAAAAAATAATAATAAATAAAAAAATAAAAAAAAAAAATCAAGAATGTCTTCCCTTAAATGCAGTAGCAAACCGCATTATGTTAGAAAACGGAACACCAAGACACACATGCAAGACCACGCACACACACACACTAGAGGATTACTGTCAGCCACTCCACAAGCTCCATACTTATACTAATACTCCACAAGCTCCCATACTAATACTCCACAAAGCTCCACATATATACTAATACTCCACAACTTTTAAAAAAAAAAAAAAAAAAAAAAAAAAAAAAAAACATCGAGAGAACTCCTAACTAGGCTATACATAACGCTTTCATTAAGGCTGAAATTCCTTTGGCTAAGGCACTACAAGACGCAAAACAAGGACGTGTAACAGGGTATTCACTGTGTATCATGACGAGATGCAGGAATTCTCGCATCAAGGTTGCTGGGAGTACAAGTACGTGTCGCGAAGGAAAGGTCACTCGTCCCGATGTGTACAGCATTCAAGGCCTTCTTCGGGTGTCAGAATTCGTCCCGGGGATGCTGACGAAAGTACACACACACACACACACACACACACACACACACACACACACACACACACACACACACACACACACACACACACACACACACACACACACACACACACACACACACACACACACACACACACACACACACACACACACACACACATATATATATGTGTGTGTGTGTGTGTGTGTGTGTGTGTGTGTGTGTGTGTGTGTGTACATATATGTGTACATATATATACAGAGAGAGAGAGAGAACAGGAGAGAGCGATTTGCAGAAGGGAAATAAGAGAGAGAACTAAAATGAAAATAAAAGACACAGAGAAAGTTCACGTAAATGTCTGAATCTGTGATGATAAACAGCCATGCACAACAATATAGAAATAATAATATGATGAGTTATGAGTCTTACGCTCAATAAACCACGTGAAATGCTGCCTTTTGGTCAAGAAAGTTATAAACCACCTAAATGAGTTTACATAATGAGAGTAGTATGAACTTATTTTTCGTTTCACGTGTAAAGGAAAAACAATAATAAAATAATAATAACAATGATAAAAATAATTATGATTATAATAATAATAATAATGAATAATAATAATATAATAAATAATAATAATAATATAATAATAATTATAATGATAATAATAATGATAATAATAGTAATAATGATAATAATAATAATGATAATAATGATAATAATAATAATAATAATAATAATAATAATAATAATAATAATAATAATAATAATAATAATAATAACAATAATAATAATAATAATAATAATAATAATAATAATAATAATAATAACAACAACAATAATAATAATAATAATATTAGTAATAATAATAATAATGATAATAATGATAATAATAATAATAAAATACACTAATGTCACCCTATATCCTACTACAAACAAGACTAAAAACTTAATAGGATGTTCTATAATTTTATCCTCGAGCTGTTATCATGTCTCACAGATGGCAATTCAAAGGGTTTACAGCCATGATAGTAATCCATTTATTTAATATATAAAGTATCATGAATTATGTTCAGCCACTCCATGAACAATGTCTAAATATCACATCTCAATTACTGAACTGTGGCAGTCCTCAGTAATATCATTTTTATTCATTATTTAAGTAATCTGTTAATTTTTTTGTCATTGAACTATCAGTTTCTTTAATATTTCATTTGTTATTTAACTATATGTCACTTCATTTAAATCTATCTAATTATCATTTGTTTTTTAATAATTTACTTATTTAGTTATGATTCTTTGTCCATTAATAAGAGCGTGTGCAACAAAGACTAAGTCACCATTTTATGCGATAAGTTTTATGAGATATTCACTTACAGACACGTGTTTCATTCACATAGACACGTGCTTCATTCACATAAACACGTGCTTCATTTAAAAAAAATAATAATAATAAAAAAATAAACAAAACAATAATCATTCACAACACACGTGCTAAAAAAATAAACAAAACAATTTCATATGAAATAAAATTTTAGATATCATATAAAGGTATCTTGCGAATTGTCTCACCAGCCACAGATGGCTATACAGTGAACAATTCTCCCGCAATAAAATTTGTTGATAATTAGTTTACGTGTATTACTAGACAATTAATCATAATTAATTGAAGACACTGACAGACTGAACTTCGATCTCACAACACTGGATGAAGTGAACAAGGTGATCAGGAAAACGAAACTTCTAAACTTCCCGACCTGGACGTTATATCAGACAGATAAACTTGATGAAAAGTGCAAATCCGTTCGATGTGTTGTGTAGGAGGCGGATGAAGAGGGTAAAAAAACTGTTGTGTGTAATAATTTGTTAATTCTTATGTGAATGTCGTGTCCTTATTAGTGATCTTTAACAAAAACATTTTTTTTTTTTATTGTACATCTATTGGAATTAACAAAAGTATTTTTCATTTATTTTTATTTTTTCTTTATTGTACATCTATTGAAGTAATTAACAAAATGGCAATTTGAGCATCAGACGTACTTTTTATTTTTTTTATTTTCTGTTTTT